CTAGGCCCGAAAAGTCAGCCTTCCTGCTCCTCTGATGCTGCTTGGCCCGCTGTGTTCATCCAGCTCTACGCTTTTGTTATCTCAGATTCTCCAGCATCTGCAGTTCCTACTATCTCTGATACAGATTTGATTGGTGATAATTTTCCAAACAGTTTTAAAAAAAAGTCTCATCAGACTCAAAATGTTAATTTTGTTTCTCTCTCCACAGATGCTGTCAGACCTGCTAAGTTTCTCCAACATTTTGTTTTTATTTCAGATTTCCAGTATCTGCAGTACTTTGTTTTTATGCGAGTGTGAGATTGAACAGTTCAGTAGTTGCAGAAGTACATAGTGTTATGAATATCTAGTTTATGGTTCTTGGAATTTTTTAGTTTTGGGTAATAGTGCATTTTGTGAAATGGAATTGAGGAGCATTAAAGTCTGGTATATTTGAAAGGTTGAAGTAATTTTACTTTTAGGTTACCTGTGTTTGTTTAATGGGATCATTGGGGTTGGTTAGCTCAGATGGCAGGACATCATCCTGCATCACAAGCCAGTTCTCAATAATGTGGTTCAATTCCTGCACTGTCTGAAATTACTGTGAAGCAGTCTGCTTCTCAACCTGTCCTCTAACCTGAGGTGTGGTGACCTCAGGTTAAACGCACTACCAGTCATCTCTGAGAGAGCAGCCCTACAATCCTGTAGGACTATGGTGACTTTACCTTAGCAAATGGAATCAGAATCTGATTGTTTTGGGAGGTAAAGTTAAATTAACTAGGATGCATTCTGTAAGGCTGAAGCACCTATTAGCTCAGAACAAGCTATGTTTCATGGAGATGGGTGGACGTAACATATTTTAGGTTTCAGTTTACCTGGATGCTTTTTCTGGGAGAGTGTTGAAGTAACAAAGTGGCTTTAGGCAGCATGAGTGTTACTGTTAGGTTCCAGGCAATTAGGGCAGGAGAAGTCTATGGAAGTTATTGTGAGAGTGGAGTCAAGGACACCACAAGCGCTATTTGCTTCATGCAGCTGAGAGAACCCAGGGGTATTGTTAGCTTAGTGAAGCTACCTATCTAGGAAAGAGCTAGTATTGATGCTGTAATACAATCTCAAGATATCCAGTAGAAGAGTTTGAACCACCTAGTTGTGAGCGGTTGGTGAAGCACTCTGTGATAGAATGGCTTTTGAGGGAGATTTAAAGTCAGAACTTTGAAAGTGAAGAATTGGAATCTCTTGTAAATGAGATAATACTTTAGTGAGATTTGGTGACTCTGCCACTGATGTTTAGGTGTTGCTGAGAAATATGTGGAAACTGTCTTGACCACATTTGCAGTTTGATGTGCTTTGACAACCGTCTGTCTGCCTTTACTTACTTCATGTTAGTTCTGGATGTTAAGTATATATATTGTATATATTGTGTGTTGTGTAACCGTTCTAACTTTAAACCATGAAGTTTATTTAGTTTGTTCAAAAAATGGTGAACCCTTCTGGCTTTATTCTCTTCCTCCGTGTCTGGGATCTCAAATTTTGCCTACTTTTTAGAAAACAGTTATTGGTCTTTAGCAGATCATAAAATAAATTTGGCAGATTCCTCCAGGATCATAACAATAGTGAATGGAGGCTGGCCAGTTAAGCATTTTAAAGTGCAGTTGTAAGTGACTTGGGGTGAACTATTTCCAAAGACAGACAGAAAAATAGTAAATGAAAGGCAGTTGAGTGGTAAAACTACAGAGTTGATCAGAAATGGCCTTCTCTAACAAACGAATGTATTTTACAGTGCCACTTGAGCAGTTGAGAGTGGGAATGCATTCTGATTTACAATGGCTACTTGAGTAACAAAACTAATTTTAGTGAATGGACAAGTTGGAACAAAAAAAGGTATTATATGCAGTTTATCAAAATTATTTTGTAGAACAACAATTTTTTGTACCATCTTTCTGTTCCCTCTATTACCTTACTGTTTACAGCATCAGTGACAGAGTCTGAGATTTGAATGGTTTCACTAGTTTTGTGGAGATCTGTTGCCCTTAAAGGAGCTGCTTTAAATTTGTTGGTATTATTGGAAACCAGCATAGACCATCTTCAAATTAAGCAATATCTATTTTGCTGTATGGTTGTGATGGTAAATTTTAGTTACTCCATCCTTTTTTTTTAATAAAAAGCATTTTTGCAGTGGGGAATGGAAGTATTAAGTGTGAAAATTATTAAGACAATTGGTTGACATTCCAAGCACTTTATCCTCTTACATCTATGGTTTGAGTTCATATCCAACGTACCATCTGTACTCAGTTTCATTGAGGTGCAGTAACTGAGAGAGAACTTTTAATGAAATGCAGAATTGACTTTCAGATAGGTCTGGATGGTTTTGACTTGGAAGGGTCTTAAAACTCAAAGCAGGTTAGCTATTCGGCTATGAATCACATTTAGTGAGAACATCTTTTTGTTTTCCTCACCAGAATATGATTAGTTTAATTTGGAGTTACCTGTACAGCACTCTTCTGAGGTCTTGGATGAAGTGGATTTTAAGAAAGATTACTGGAAGATGTGAACTACAACGTATTTGTGCCAATACTGTTCAAGGAGCAGAGCGAACAATGAAAATAGGTGAGCAGTGGGGAAAGCTATTCCTGAATTATAAGTAGAGTATTAACTACTGCACTTAAAGCACACTTTTTTATTGTATTATGGTATCAGTGTTCCATGCTTAGGATTGGCATCCAGGAACATTCATTTGCTTCATCCTTTTATTACCAAATCTTTGTTTTGGAAAAACCCTATAATATTTCCTCTTAATTTTTATAGAGTCATAGAATCATACAGCACAGAACCAGACCCTTTGGTCCAACCTCTTCTATGCTAACCAAGTTTCCCAAACTAAACTAGTCCCATTTGCTTACATTTGGTCCATATCCCTCTAAACCTTTTCTATTAATGTACCTGTCAAAATGTCTTTTAAATGTTGTAACTGTACCTGCATCTATGCCTTTCTTTGGCAATTCATTCTACGTATGAACCAACCTCTGCGAAGAAGTTGCCCCTTAGGTCCCTTTTAAATCTTTCTCCTCTTATCTTAAAAATATGCCCTCTAGTTTTAAACTCTCCTATCCTAGGGAAAAGCCCCAGATCATTCTCTAACCTTTTCATCTTAGTGCATTTTTTTTCTGTACCTTTTTTAATTGTGGATTCCAGAACTGCAAGTTGTGTGCTAAGTTTAATTTGACTAGAGTGTATGTATGATTATTAGAGCTGTAAGATTATTTTCACTTCATTTTGTGCACGCTCAAGTTCTTTTGATGACAACCTTACGTTAACATTTCTCATTAGTTATTCCACAATCTTGTTATTACTAATTGTAGAATTTTATCTGGTATGAATTCAAGATTGGTCCATAGTTGCTTCATCCAGTTTCTTTTCATATAATGCATAGAACTACATTTATAGTTAATATTGTTAAAAGATAACTTGCAGATGAAAAATATTTTAATCTTTAAAAACAATTATTACATTTATAAACAGTTATAACAACTAAAACAATTGTTAACCTGTGCAAGTTTTGTATCTATCTTAATATACTTGTTTGCCATTCATACTTGATTTAAACATATTTCCTGAAAATCTTTTCTAACTTACTGAAAATTATTTAAGCTAAAAGCTAAATTTATCATTTCTTTCAAATAGAATATTCTTTGAAATCATCCAGAAACGAAGTAAGTAAGATTCACTTTTTTGTCTTTTTCTGCTTGATAAATTAGGTCAATATTATTCTTGATTACTGAGGTACTGGGCCTGAATCACGAGAACATTGATTTTCCCTTTATAGTTATCTGATCTACTAAGAATTTTCTCGTGTTCTAGCTCCCCTGTTTCATTCCACCATATGTCTCCGTTCAATGTCAAAAGCTAAACTTTGTGAAATTTGTCTTCACGCTGGAATGTGGTAACTGAAATACTGCTGGTAAAGTGTGATCTGAGCTTCAGCTGCTGTATGAGAAGTACACGCTTCAGCATGAAGACAACTGTGCTTCGTTAAAGAAATCCACTTAAAGATCTACATAACTGTATGATACTGAGGAGACCAATCTGCAAGTTATTTAGCCCGAAGTAGGAAATTGCTAGAAGAAGCAAGAAACCAATGATAGGGAAGAAATAAAGCTCTAAGTAATCCAGTACAATAAAATACTGTAGATACTACTTCAATCAGTGTAAGCTTTTATAAGTATATTAAGAGCAAAAGGATATCCAGAGAAAGAGTGATGCCTATCATAAACCAAAGGGGCAACCTGTGTGTGGAGCCAGAGGATGTAGGTGAGATCTTAAATGAATGTTTCTCATCTGTATTCACAAAGGAGAAAGGTATTGTAGCTGGAGATTTCGGTTGGGTTGGTGAGGTTCTAGAACATGTAAAGATTAATAAAGAGGAACTATTAGATCTTTTATTGGGCGTACTAGTGCAAAAATCCCCAGGCATGATGAGATGTATCCCAGGCTGCTATAGGAGGCAAGGGGGGAAATTGCCCGGCCCCTGATGGAGATATTTAATACTTCGCTGATCACTGGTGAAGTGCCGGATGACTGGAAGATTGCTAATATGGTTCCTTTGCTCAAGAAGAGCAGCAGAGATAGGCCAAGTAATTAGACCAGTTACAAAAACAAAGTTGCTGGAAAAGCTCAGCAGGTCTGGCAGCATCTGTGGAGGAGAAAACAGAGTTAACGTTTCAGGTCGGTGACCCTTCCTCAGAACTGATGGTGGCTGGGAAAACGTCAGTTTGTATGCAGAAAATAGGGAGGTGGGTGGGGTAGGGAGTAAACGATAAGATAGAGCCCAAAGAGAGAGAGAGACAGTTGGACAGACAAAGGAGTTGCTAACGATCAGGCTGGGAGGGTGAATAGTTGTTAGTGGGGACTGTTAGTGACTAACAACAGGGGGTGTGTAGTGGCAGGCTATGTGGTAATGAGGCCTGGTGTGTGGGGTGGGGGGCTGGGACCTGGGAGAGTTTAGGCCCTAAAATTATTGAACTCAATATTGAGTCCGGAGGGCTGTAGGGTCCCCAAGTGGAAAATGAGGTGTTGTTCCTCCTGCTTGCGTTGGGCTTCACTGGAACACTGTAGCAAGCCGGAGACAGAGATGTTGGCCAGGGAGCAGGGTGGTGCATTGAAGTGGCAGGCAACAGGTAGTTCAGGGTCTTTTTTGCGAGCAGAACGTAGATGTTCTGCAAAGCGGTCGCCAAGTCTAGGCTTCGTTTCCCCAATGTAGAGGAGACCGCAATGTAGAGGAGAATTAGACCAGTTAGTCTGATGTCATTAGTAGGGAAATTACTGAAAACAATTTGAGGCTCGGGATTTATCAATCCTTGGAAAGGCAGGAATTGATCTGGGATAGTCAGCATGGATTTGTTAGAGGGAGATCTTGTCCAACTAATTTAGTTGAGCTTTTTTTTTTGGAAAAGGTAACTAAATATGAGGGTAGGCAGTTGATTTGGTTTACATGGGTCTCAATAAGGCTTTGACAAGGTTGCAAACGGTAGGCTGCTTCAAAAGGTAATAGTTCGTGGGATCCAAGGCAAGTTGACAAACAGGATGCAAAATTGCCATTTGAAATGGGCTACAAAGGGTGACGGTGCAGGATTGTTTTTGTAATAGGAAGCTTGTGACCTGTGGTGCATCAGAGATTGGTGCTGGGACCCTTGCTGTTTATGTACATTAATGACTTGGATGTAAACGTTGAAGGTATAACTAGTAGGTTTGCAGATGATACAAAAATTGGTGGTGTTGTTGATAGTGAGGAGAATGGTCTCAGGATAGAGTCTGATATTGATCAGCTGGTAAATTTCACAGAGCAGTGGTAGATGGAATTTAATCTGATAAATGTGAGGTGATGCATTTTAGAAGGTCTAATAAGGGTTGGATATATACAATAAATGGTAGGTCCCTAGGGACTACTGAGGAACAAAGGGACCGTAGTGTACAAGTCCATAGATCCCTGAAGGTCTCCACAAAGATAGACAGTATAGTGAAGAAGGCAAACAGGATGCTCACCTTCATTAGCTGGGGCATGAAATATAGTAGCAGGGAAGGCTTGTTACAACTTTTTAGAACAGTGAGTAGGCCAGATGGAATAGTGTGTACATTTCTGGTCACTACACTATTGGAATGATGTGATTGCAGTGGAGAGGGTACAGAAGGGATGTTGCCTGAGATGGATAGTCTCCATAATGAGGAGAGAATGAATAGGCTGAGTTTGTTTCTCCTGGAGCAGAGGAGGCTGAGGAGGTATCTGATTGAGATAAATTATAGCATGGATGGGGTAAATCATGAGAATCTTTTCCCCATGGCAGATGTGCCTAAGACTAGAAGGCATAAGCTTAAGGTAAGGAGCAAGTGGTTTAGAGGAGATCTGAGGAAATGTTTTTTCCACTGAGGGTGGTAGAAACATGGAAAGCACTGGCTGAGAGGGCAGCAAAGACAAGTACTCCCACAACATTGAAGATGCATCTGGATGAGCAGTTAAAATGCCTGGACAAAGTAAGCTATGGACCAAGGTGCAGGGGAAATGGGATTAGTGTGGTTTGGTGTTTGTTTGTTGGCAGACGTGCTGGGCCAAAGGGGCCTGTTTCTATGCTGTATGATTCTAGTGGGAGGGATAGGGGCGAAAAAAATTGGCTTCATCTCGAGTACTGGATCCCATGTGTTATACTGTCGTTTTAAAAAAAAATGGGTTTTAAAGTTGAGGCAAATGTGTTTTTGATTTTAGTTCTGTGAAGGTGATTTGTCTTAAGAGGTCAAAGTCATTTTTGAGTAGTTAAATTATCTGTAGAGTTAGTTAGTAAATTTTTTGCAAAGTTGACCTTTAGTGATATACAAAAAGGCAGACCAGGACTACAATCAGATTTAAATTGAGAAGAACCACTTCATACCAGCAGAAGGTCATTTTAGTCAATGGCTGTCAAAGCAAACCTTAAAACTGTTTTAGCAGGTTAAACATACAGCATTGTTCTTAAATTTTAATTTAGAAAAGTAAGTGAAATAGCCACTGTCTGTGTATCTTTGGATGAGACTGTACAGAGATAATCACATCTGAATGTGTAGAAAGTCACCAAAAGGAATGCTTGCAACTTAAGAAATTATAGTTAAGAGTAATATTCAGTGAGTGTGTTTGTCAAGGATATTGCTGGGAAAAGGGTCAATTCTTTTGCTGTTTATGTTAAGATCTTTCAAAATTTATTTGTTTGCTATATTTTATTTCGCGCAATAAACTCCTGTTCTTTACTACGTGAATATGTTCAGTGACTGAACACCACTGCAATGAAACTGTAAAATTAAAACTTAGTATGTCAAATCATGTTTTACTCTGCGATCTGACTTGTCCAGTATTACCCTCATTTAGGATCACAATGGTAAAGTTCATAAAGTTATACAATAAATAACATTTCAGGGAAAAAAAGTTTTCTCAACAATATATGTAATCCTAATTCCTTAGAAACATTTGGCAGTCTAGACACTGAGGTTAGAGTATTCCTGATGTAGGACAGTGTTTAATCATAAGTAAAGTAAAGCAGGGAGCAACATACTTGAGTAAATTTTACTTTGCAGGTTTATACTTGCTGATACTTCTGCCCTGTGGGGAATATCTTTCTATTGGGTTATACAATTGCCACTTTGTCAGAGAAATGAACAACTGAAAAGGAGAAAAGATGTAGTAGCACATTTTAATTTGCACCAACATTGACATTTAACATTCTGAATGCTTATTTCCCAAAGACATTAACAATGTTTATTCTAATAGTTTAGTGCTGACTAATTTGTTTCCACAAATTGTTTCTCATTTAGGTTTTAAAAACATCAGTGGCTAGCAGTGTGGAAAACATGGAGAACAGAGTTCAGGATATTATGGAGATAAAAAAGATTTCCATTCAGAAAAATCCACAGTAAGCTTGAATTATATTCTTAAATCAGCATGAAATATTGTTTTTTTTTCTTAATTTTATTGTCCCTTTAAACTCTTCAATGTTTCTGCTGGATCTTTGTATGTGTGAATGTTCAGAAATTGTTAGGCAGGTGCTGGAAATCTTGAAATATAAATGGAAAATGCCAGAAGTACTCAAGTCAGGCAGCATTTGTGGAGAGAAAACGTTAATGTTTCAGGATAGTGACCTTTTGAGTAAAACATTAACACTGTTTCTCACCTCGCTGGTACTGCCTCACCTGCTGACCTTCCCAACAATTTCTTCATAGTGTGCATATTTTTCACCAACTGAGAATTAGAAGTGGTAATATTGTTTCTCTGTTAGCTTCTCTTAATTGCTGCATTGTATTGCCCTCACTATAGATGACTAATTTATCACAAAGCAGGGATGCAAGCATGTAGCTTAGGAACAAAGCACTTGTTGCACTTACTCTGAAATCTTTATTGCATTCTTCTCTCTATTTTTCTCCTCTTTTTGTAAAATTGGTTATTTAGAGTATGATCCCATGGTTGCTGTCCACATCTTACCCAAGGGACTGTTCATTAAGTGAACATAGATGGTGACTGAAAGTAGGTCATTTGGTCATGAGAACATTACAAAGCAGATTATCTGACATCCTAATGCCACATATGTTACTGGATAGCAATGAAAATTTGTCCAATCTCCTTTCTCTACAGGCAACAAGACCAATTGTAGTGTTCCTGTCATTTCCCCAGACCTAAAATTTTGCTATTTCAGCATGAAGCCTGAATTAGAATAAAATAAACTTTGATACTCCAGACCTTTCTTACAAAACCAATTCTGAAGAAAACCTCATTCTGAACAAACTCTGGCATTCTTAAGTCAGAAATAGCAATGACCCTGATTCTTTTTAACTATGTAAAACTTGAACTAAGTTGCTTTCTGAAGAGTTTTGCCACCATTTCAACTTCAGATGTTTTAATACCAGTGCTTGGCCATACCGCATCATTTAAATATGAATTAAAGATTAGTGCGATAACTGCATAATAGCTGGTTAACGAGCTCTGGTATATTCAACCAGACTTTATTTTAAATCTGGAGTAAATTTAATGCAACTAAACATGATGGTTACTGTGCCATCTGGGAACTGTCTTCATTGTTAGGTGTTTGGAGACCAAAGAGCACCAGCTCTTGGGGATCATCCTGCCTATAGTATATGATAGGGGAGGAGAAAGCGTCAAGGTAAGTCGGTTGCTTGGAGTATACATTAACTATGCTGAGTTGTTAACCTAACTAGCTTTTACAAGAGATTCACAGACTTATCCACAGCAATACAATTGTAGGATGAGTCATCATGAAATTATAGGTCTTATTAGTTCAACATATGTTGTGGGAAAGTGACTAGAACCTGTAATTAGGGACAGAGTGACCAAGCAGATAGGCAAGTATGGCTCTATTTGATTAGTACAATGTGGACCCATAAAGGGAAAGTCCTGACTAACAAAAGTAGTTGCACTTTTTTCTTTGAGGATAACATGGCAGATGAGGAAAAATCTGTGGATGTTGCTTGTATGAATTTTCAGAATCCATTTGGAAAAATTTCACAACAGAAACTGTTAACAGAGTTAAGAATGTTTACTATAAGAGTTAACCATTTGACATAAGGCATTATCTATAAAGTAATATGCAGAGAATAAGGTTAGTAGGTTTGTACTCATATTGGCAAGATATTTTCATTCATTCAGGGCATGTGGGCTTTGCTTGCTTGGCCAGCATTTATGGCTCATCCCTAATTGAGATGGTGGTGATGAGCCTGTCGTCTTGAACCACTGTAGTCTATTTCGGTTAGGTATGCCCACAGTCCTGTTAAGGAGAGAACTCCAGAATTTTGGCACTGTGACAGTGAACGAATGGCAGTACGTTTCCAAGTCCGTGTGGTGATTGGCTTGGATGGGAGCTTGAAGGTTGTGGGGTTTCCGTTAATCTGCTGCTCTTGTTCTGCTAGACGTGAATGATCATGGGTTTGCAAAGTGCTGTCAGAGGAGCCTTTCTGCATTGAATGTTGTAGATGGTACATAGTGCTGCTACTATGCATCATTGTCAGAGTGAATGCTTATGGATGTGGTGCCAATCAAGCAGGCTGCTTTGTTCTGAATGGTAGACAAAAAACTGAAAGAACTGTAGATGCTCAATCTGAAACAAAAACAGAAATTGCTGGAGAATCTCAGGAGGTCTGGTAATACCTGTGGAGAGAAATCAGTTAACATTCAGAGTTAACCTTTCCCCCAAGCTTTCCCCACCCCCACATACCACCAGATCTTGTCATCACATGAGCTGCCACCACACAGTACCCATTGTCAGCCACTCGTAGCCCCATTAGCAGCTTTTCATTCCCAAGACTGACCTTTAACCACTCCTTTGTCTGTCCAACTGTTTTTCTTTTTTGGGTTCTCTCTCCATCTATCTTTTACTCTTCAACCAAGCCCCCCTTCCCATCTTCTATATCAAAACCATCCTTTTCCTAGCTACCATCAGTTCTGAAGTAGTGTCACTGGACCTGAATTGTTAACTCCGATTTCTGACCACAGAGGTTGCCAGACATGTTGATGTTTTCAAGCAGTTTTTGTTTTTGTTCTGAATGGTGTCAAGCTTCTTAAATGTTGATAGAACTGCTCTCATCCTGACTTGTGCCTTACAGATAGTGCACAGCCTTTGGGGAATCAGGGGGTGAGGTATTTGCAGGATTCCTAGACTCTGACCTGCTCTCCAGGCCACAGTATTAATATGCTTAGTTCAATTTAGGTTCTAGTCAATGGTAATAACCCTCAGAATATTTGTACTTGGAAATTCAGAAATGGTAATACTATTGAATGTCGAAGGGTGATGGTTTGATTCATTCATGTTGGTGGTGATCATTGCTTGACACTTGCCACTTGTCAGCTTAAACCTGCATATTGTCCAGGTTTGCTGCTGTTGGACATGCACTGCTTCAGTATGAGAAGTCCTGAATGATACTAAACATTGCAGGCATCAGCGAACATCCCCACTTCTAACCTTACGAAAGATAATTGATGAAACAGATATAGTTGAATCAGAGATAGTAGGAACTGCAGATGCTGGAGAATCCGAGACAACAAGGTGCAGAGCTGGATGAACACAGCAGGCCAAGCAGCATCATAGGAGCAGAAAGGCTGACGTTTCGGGCCTAGACCCTTCATCAGAAATCGGGGAGGGGAAGGGGGTTCTGAAATAAATAGGGAGAGAGGGGGAGGCGGATAGAAGATGGATAGGTGGAGAGGAAACAGACAGGTCGAAGAGGCGGGGATGGAGCCAGTAAAGGTGAGTGTAGGTGGGGAGTTAGGGAGGGGATAGGTCAGTCCAGGGAGGACGGGCAGGATGAGGTTAGTAGGTAGGAGATGGGGGTGTGGCTTGCGGTGGGAGGAGGCGATAGGTGGGAGGAAGAACAGGTTAGGGGGGCGGGGACGAACTGGACTGGTTTTGGGTTGCAGTCGGGGGAGGGGAGATTTTGAAGCTTGTGAAATCCACATTGATACCATTGGGCTGCAGGGTTCCCAAGTGGAATATGAGTTGCTGTTCCTGCGACCTTCGGGTAACATGGTTATGGCACTGCAGGAGGCCCAGGATGGACATGTTGTCTGAGGAATGGGAGGGGGAGTTGAAATGGTTCGCGACTGGGAGGTGCAGTTGTTTATTGCAAACCGAGCGTAGGTGTTCTGCAAAGCGGTCCCTGAGCCTCCGCTTGGTTTCCCCGATGTATAGGAGGCCACAATGGGTACAGCGGATGCAGTATACCACATTGGCAGATGTGCAGGTGAACATCTGCTTGATGTGGAAAGTCTTCTTGGGGCCTGGGATGGGGGTGAGGGAGGAGGTATGGGGACAGGTGTAGCATTTCCTGCGGTTGCAGGGAAAAGTGCCGGGTGTGGTGGGGCTGGAGGGGAGTGTGGAGCGGACAAGGGAGTCACTGAGATAGTGGTCCCTCCGGAAAGCAGATAAGGGTGGGGAGGGAAAGATGTCTTTGGTGGTGGGATCGGATTGCAGATGGCGGAAGTGTTGGAGGATGATGCGTTGGATCTGGAGGTTGGTGGGGTGGTACGTGAGGACGAGGGGGATTCTTTTTTGGTTCTTATTGCGTGGACGGGGTGTGAGGGATGAGTTGCGGGAAATGTGGGAGACACGGTTGTGGGTGTTCTTGACCACTGAGGGGGGGAAGTTACGGTCCTTGAAAATCGAGGACAACTGAAATTAACGGGAGTGGAATGCCTCATCCTGGGAGCAGATGCGGCAAAGGCGAAGGAATTGGGAACAGGAGATGGCATTTTTGCAGGAAGGTGGGTGAGAGGAGGTGTATTCTAGGTAGCTGTGGGAGTCGGTGGACTTGAAATGGATATCGGTTTCTAGGTGGTTGCCCGAGATGGAGACAGAGAGGTCCAGGAAGGAGAGCACATCTGCCAATGCATCCGCTGTACCCATTGTGGCCTCCTCTACATCAGGGAAACAAAGCGGAGGCTCGGGGACCGCTTTGCAGAACACCTATGCTTGGTTTGCAATAAACAACTGCACCTCCCAGTCGCGAACCATTTCAACTCCCCCCTCCCATTCCTCAGACGACTTGTCCATCCTGGGCCTCCTGCAGTGCCACAATGATGCCACCTGAAGATTGCAGGAGCAGCAACTCCTATTCCGCATGGGAACCCTGCAGCCCAATGGTATCAATGTGGATTTCACAAGCTTCAAAATCTCCCCTCCCCCTACCGCATCCCAAAACCAATCCAGCTCGTCCCCGCCTCCCTAACCTGTTCTTCCTCCCACCTATCCCCTCCTCCCACCTCAAGCCCCACCCCCATCTCCTACCTACTAACCTCATCCTGCCCCCTTGACCTGTCCGTCCGTCCTCCCTGGACTAAACTATCCCCTCCCTAACTCCCCACCTACACTCACCTTTACTGGCTCCATCCCCGCCTCTTCGACCTGTCTGTTTCCTCTCCACCTATCCTCTCCTCTATCCATCTTCTATCCGCCTCCCCCTCTCTCCCTATTTATTTCAGAACCCCCTTCCCCTCCCCGATTTCTGATGAAGGGTCTAGGCCCGAAATGTCAGCCTTTCTGCTCCTATGATGCTGCTTGGCCTGCTATGTTCATCCAGCTCTGCACCTTGATGAAACAGGTCAATGTGTTTAAGGGCATTACCCTAAGGAATTCCTATGGAGATACTCTGGAAATGAATGACCTCCAACAGCCGCAACCATTATCTTTTGTGCTAGATATGACTTCAACCAGTAGAGTCCCCTGATTCCCGTTGACTCGAGCCTTGCTGGGGCTTTTTGATGCCATGCTTGATCACATGCAGCCTTGATGTTAAGGGCAATCATTCTCACTTCCCCTGTGGAGTTCAGCTCTTTTGTCCATGTTTGAACTAACGATGGTATGAGGTCAGGAGTTGAGTAGCCCTTGTAGAATGCAAACTGAGCATCAGTGAACAGGTTTCGGATTAGCAAGTGCTGCTTCATCGCACTATTATAATCCCTTCCATCAATTGACAGATGACTGAAAGTAGATAGGTGCTGTAAGGCTTAATTTGCCGTGCCTTTTGCATACAGGACATATCTGGGCAATTTTCCATATTGACGGCTAGATGCCAGTATAGTAGCTGTACTAGAATAGTTTGTCTAGGGCTGTGGCAAGCTCTGGATCACAAGTTTTCAGTACTATTGTTCGAAAGTTGTCAGGGCCCATAACCCCTGCTGCATCCACTACCTTAAACTATTTCTTGATATCACAGAGTGAATCAAATTAGTTGAAGACTGGCACCCTTGACTCTGAAATCAAAATGGACCATCCACTCAACATAGGAAAGGTTCAGAGGGATATGGGCCCACACAGGTAAACGGGACTAATTCAGTTTAGGAAATCTGGTTGGCATGGATGAGTTGAGCCGAAGGGCTTTGTTTCAATGCTATATGACTCTAGGTAAGGCCAGCAGATTTCCTTCCCTAAAAACATAAGTGAACCAGATTAATTTTTTTTAATGACAATCATTAGACTTTTAATTCCAGATTTTTAAATTCAAATTCCACCATCTGCTGCAGTAACCCAATCCTTAGAGTATTACCTGGGTCCCTGGATTACTAGTCCAACAACAATTCCAATTGTTAGTCTCCCAGAAGTTTCAGCTTTTTATTGTTTGTAAAATGAAGGCAGCCCGAAGTATTGCAAGTTTGCTGGCACTGAGTCAGTTGTCATGGTAAGCGGTATAGATGGGAGAGAAAGTTGCAATATGACGTTGGTAGATTGTGATTGGACAAAACTTTAGATGTGGAATTTAATATATGGAAACATGAAGTCATCCAGTTTGAACCTAAAATTTGAGTCTCGGTATTCTAAATGGTGAAAAGCTATAAACTGTGGAAGAATAAAAAATTTTTGGTGTCCCTATGCATAAATCATTAAGCTGCTGGACAATCCCAAAATATGACTATAAAAGGAAATATGGTGTTAACTTTTTATCTTGTGGAAATTGAATCCAATAGAATAGAAACTGTGTTAGAGTTATGCCTAGTTTTGGTTAGATTCCACCTCTAGTATTCAGTTTAGTTCTGGTATTACATCTAAGGAACAATGCACTGGCCTTGCAGTAGTGGAGCCCAGATTTGCTAGAATAATACAGGGCCATGTATGGATACTTGACGTTCTCTTTGAAGAGTCTCTGACATCTAATGATTTCTGTGGCGAGAATGTTATCCCTGTTAACCTGCAATTGTTTGTAGCACTTATTAAGGATTCTCAGCATCAAAGCTGCAGTGATGTCATCAAACAGTCCAAGCAACCAGTCATACTGAAGGTTTCTTGCAGACAGCCAAGCAGGAAATTACAGCTAAAATCAAATCACTTTTGAAAGATTTTACTGAGAAAAGTAAAATTTGGTATACACATGAAATATGAAGATAGAAGCTGAAATATAAAACAACTTTTTTTTTTAATTGTTTTAAAACATTAACTTTAGAAAGATCTGAAGATAAATCAGAAAAGCATTGAGTTGTGAGAAGCTAGAAATAATCTCAACTTCTAGCAGTGTTCCACATATTTTTCATAGCCAGGTTGTTCAACCATACTTACTACTCATACCACTGTTAAAAACCTAGTTACAAGTCGCTGAACAAAGCTTAACTTCTTCGAGAAGAAGAGAGCAGGCAAGTTTTTCAGATCAATTGATTTCACTATTGCCAATTGTTTTGGGCATAGGGTGGGCAGGCTCCCTGCATAGCCTCCAACAGTAGTGAATGACAAGAGTGCAACTTTAGTCTTTCCATTGTTAACCTGCACTTGTGATTAATCCTGACATTGCGGTCAGGCTCACAGATGAAAAGTGAATTTGCCATCAAAAACTCCACAAATTCAAGCTTACTATCAAAAATACCAGTGCAACTGATTTGTTTCTCCTTGAATTCCTTTGTGAAATTAGTTGGAGCACTGAGACACAAGGTCTTGTGTTAAAAGCATTTTAAAAAGGCTAACAGATTCCTTTTATGGATGTGTTTTTATTTTTGTAGCTTCAAGTTAAATTTACAGATTTGCTTGCTTCAAGTCTCTGGCTTTAAAAAACTTTTTGCTGATGTAGAATACCTACGGAAGCAACCATTTGACTCTTCAAACAAGCAACATGAAGATCTGCTATTAAAGGTATGTTTATTGAATTTTCAATCTCACTATTTACTCAGGGAACCTTGCCTTACTAGACTGCAATACTTAAAAATTTATTTTGGGAAGATGAGTGGCATTGATCTTTTAAGAGGATTTTCAGTGGAGAACTTGCAATGTTTGTTGTCATAACCCCTTGAGTCTCTCAACAACTTTTGGGGTTAACCGAGGAATCTTGAAGTGGTGGTCTGTCATTGTGAATTACCTACTTCTCTCCAATGTTGCTGATAAGAAGCAAAATGTAACAGTGATTGTGAGGGGACCATTTTGTGTGTAAAGATAACATTGTGAGCATTGAAATTATTTCAATGGGTGCAAAGTGAAGGGTGGAATCATTATCCAAAACTTTTAGTAGTTACTAATATTAAGCACTCTATTTGAAACCCGTTTTAAGTGAAACATGGCTCATTTACGTTGGGAATATATTCTTAAAGGTACGTGTCATTCATATTTTCGCAATTTTTTTTTCCCCGCACCAGTGAGTATGAAGTAACTTGACTTCCTCTTGGATGAAAAGTGGCAATTTCTTTTTTTAAAAAAAGACCTGGATGTTAACAAGTTGAACAAAACTTGCTGTGCCTGATGATGTGGTTGAACAAATATGTCTCTCTGCAACTGTTCTGTTGTCATCCATAACTAATCAGCTATAAAACACAAACTAATCTATTTAAACCCTTCCATTTTTCCTTTTAATAATTACAGTTTGTGTGAAGGACTGTTCCAGTTATACTTTCATTGTTTAGTGTATTGTCTCATTTGCTATTTGTTTATTTCTTTCATAATTTTTAGTTGTGGCAGTTGATGATGCCCAATGTAAACTTGGAGTCAAGAATCACCAAACAGTGGGGTGACATTGGGTTCCAAGGTGATGATCCTAAAACTGACTTCAGAGGCATGGGAATGCTGGGGTTACACAACCTAGTGTAAGTCTTTGTATAGGATATAAATAGCACTTTTTTTCCCCCAAAAAAACCACAGGTTAAGTAGTCCCTTCCATCTTAACATGTTGTTCTGTGATTTGTGTTCTATGTATTGAAAAGATTAGTTTGCAAAGTAGATCTTGCAACTCTATGTACAGGAGGACTGATATCAGTCTATCTGCTTCACCAGCCACCTGATCACTGATTTTGTTTTTTTTTAAGTTATGCCTTAGAATCATTTCTGTTTAAAACCCTCAATTTTTCTGTAGTTTAAACAGTCATTATTGTCACAATGATAACATCTTGAATACAACAAGAATTAAGACTGTGGGTGGGGCTAAAATGGGGATATGATACTGGCTTTCCCATTGGTCCTGCAATCCTACTGACTACTGTTTTAATCCTGGGATTTTGGAAGGTGTGATACCTGCACCACATGAAGACAGACATTATTAAATTATGGTATGTGATTCTAAAATATTATTGTTCTTTGAGTTAATTGATATATAAATTTACAGTACACTTATTGATCTTTTGCTAATAAATAATTTTTTTTGTTGGAGGAGTACTTCAACTGAAACTTGCCCTGAATTTAAGGAGACCTTTGTTAGAAAGGTAGATGCTTTCTTCCTGAGATGCAAGGGGTAGAATTCTTATTTTTAAGAATTATTTATCCTCCTGCTTGGCCATTTTTGAAATGTCTGCTACATTCATTGCATTTCATAAATGTGGGAAAGCCAAATTTCATGTGATTTGTTCTGATGGCAAAAATAGTTTACAGTGGGACTTCTCCGTGTGCTAACTCTTCTGATGTATAAGGTGCTGTGTCATAGAAGGAAGAAATACAAAACTCAAATTTTAATTCTTAATGGCAGGTGTGTTTTTTTTTTAACTTGTGTCATTAAAATGTTTAGGTTCTTTGGGGAGCATTACACCAAAATAGCTCGCCAGACTCTTTCGCATTCAAATCATCCCAAAATTGGGTAAGTGAAAGCATGTAGTTTTTATGCCATCTCATTCATTTTACAAGGAAAAGCCTACCAAAAATGTGTTAACATGATTTAAGCGTGATAGCACCTTTTTGAGACCTATTTAAAATCTCATTTTCAAATTCATTTGGAAATTCTATCTGAGTAGAATCTAAAATGAAAACTAGCAGCATTGACTACTTGCAAAATTTTAAGTGAACGAAAGCTTTTGGAAGAAATTGCACTAACACCCTAATTTTTACAATGGATATGATTTTTATGAAATGTTTTTGGTATGTTCTTAAGTGAGAGCCCAGGTTGGACACTATGGCCCAGATCTAAAGGTCTCTGTAATTGCCGACGTAATCACTCGGTGTCTGGGACCCTGTGAAAATTTCCCCAACTATAATTGGAGTCAGAAACTTCAAAGGGTTCCACCTTCATTTAAATTAGAGGAATTAAAACCTGCTCCTATGCTTGACTAACTATGAAAATGAGTCCCCTGACTTACCACAGTTTTCCCCTTGATCACTTTCCTCGATCCTTCTTGAACACCAGACTCGCCTCCCCATCGTTGAACACCTGACAGCTCACCCTTCACATTGAATGCCTGACCACTCTCAACATGTGATCCATCTACTCTGTCACCCACTTACTTAACACCCTGCCCCTAATCCCACAAGTACCACTGGGCCCACTAGACCCCTGCCCACCATTACGTTTTCTCTTTAATAGTAAAAGTGGCTTTGGGACCTTCAACTGTGGAATACGAGCCATTATTGCCATAAAAAGGGACATGATTTCTGTGTCAGTTAACTCCAAGGCTACCTCAATAGTTTACTAGACTATTTGTTGAAATGGATCCTGAAAAGCTAAGAGGATAACATTTTGTCCAGTCTGGTTTAGAATTCTGGGTTCTGACCCAGATCAGAAGACTTCTTTCTATACTTTTGAAGAAAGAGAAATTTACTTTTCTTGTAAATATATCATTCAACTTGGAAACCTGCCAGGATAAAATCACGTTATTTAGCTTTATTCTGATTTAATTGTTTAGTTCCATAGACCACAAAAGCAATTCAACCTGTTTTGCTAGAACTCAAAATAATTTAAAGTCAATTTTGTTATCAGCCAGCGTGTAAACAGAGCTACTCAGCTTTGATACAAGGACCCTTTTTGAAAAAAAAGCAAGTGTACTAATGAAATAAGATTAAAAATCTCCTTCTATAACATAAAATAAAACCAAAAAGACTGAAGTGGTCAGCAGTATAGCAGCCACGTGTGGATAGAGAAGCAGAGTTAAAGGGTTCAGGGTGATCACTTTCCATCAGAGCATCAAAGATCTTTTAACAGTTAGCCTTATTTAGTCTAACTATATGCAGAAAATGATTTGTGTTGTTGCATATCGCACTGCAGTAAATGTTGAAAATTAAGAATATTTTTCTTAAAAAGCTTTAGAAAATAGTACAAACATTTAAATTGATTTGACAGCTAAAGCTATGATATTTTGTGGTTCCAGATATTCCTATGCTATAGTTGGAATAAATCTTACTGAAATGGCTTACAGTATGATGAAGAGTGGCTTACTAAAGAGTCATTTTTATAACCTGGTTCCTGGAGTTCCACAGTTGCAACATTTTCATCAGTTTTATTGTAAGTACTTTAGACTGTTGCCCTCCACAGTTTAATGCTTATTTCTCACTAGAATATGTTTTGTTTGCAGTGTTACTGTGATTGATATCTATGAAAATAATGTTGCATCTCCAATTGGGTGTGAACTATTGGAAATTAAATAATACCCTGTTAATCTAATGATATAAAAGTAGTTAATTTCTAGCAATAGTAATGTATCTGACAGGTAACGTGTATAGTAATGTAACGTATCATGACTGACTGTTGAGACATGTCTCTGTCCATATAATGTATCTGACTACAAGCATTTCACTTTTAGACTCTCAGAGCATTTGTCAAATGGGTCATGCTGACTACAAACTTTAGTGGCAGATGAAGAACTGAATATTTGTGTTTCCCAATTCTTTGTAATTTACACGTTCTGACCCTATGTCATTATAATCAGCTTATACATCTGAGGTTAGACTTATAGTCTTTCTCCATTAGCAAAATAGTTAACTCACTGATCCTGATCTGGATCATTCTTATAAAATCGCATAGCTGAGATCAGTAATTTACTGCATGGAGATTGCAAACTGAAATCCTAATAAAGACAATGAATGCGATAGACTTAATTGCCATCATGCATTTTTCAGAAGGCTTTTGATTCTTATTTTTGACCACTTTTAGGAGACTAAATTTGAAGAAGGTTCAATCTACAGATTCTGTTCTTTCTTTCTATTTTCTTGAGAAATGCAGCGTTTTACATGGTTATTTTACCAGATCTGATTGAAAATGTCTTTCTGTGGCTCATGTGGCTCACATTTTGCATGAAGTTGTTTTATGTCAAAATGCAGATTTGCTTGACTAAACTTGGATAGTTTGTACATAATGTATGCCTTATCATTTTTTTAGAATCTATTATTGCAATAAGTTGACGGGTTGCTGTTGGTAATGTTACTAGACATGTAATCCAGAGGTTCAGCCAATGTTTTGAAGACGTCAGTTTAAACCGCATCACAGCAGTGAGGCCAATTTGAATTCAATTTGATTTGTTAAAAAATCTGGAATAAAATACTAATTTGATCAAGAAATTACCAGATTTAAAAACCCATCCGATTCATGGAAGTCTGAGAGGAGGAAATTTCCCATTAATAAGCAGTCACATGTGACTCTAGATTCACAGCAACAATCATTTGAAAAGGCATAACAAGCCATTCAACTATACCAATCTGCTGCAGAAGAAAGCAAAGCATCTTGCATATATCTACACCACATGGACTGCAGCATTTCATGAAAGTGTTTCATTTTTACGTTATCGAGGGCAGTTAGGAATAAGCAAAAAATTTGGTCTTTTCTGTGATGGACGCATTTCAAGAAGTGAAGAAAAAGTCTCCATGTAAGATCCAGGTGTGTTTTATGCTGAAGGACTTGCCTTCAGCCCATATGCCATTCTTGATTTGTTTATTATCGCTAAAGTTAGCATATTTTAGCATCAAAAAACAGCAGAAGTAATGTGAGCGTATTACAGAATACTCTCTAACTTTAACTTTGTCATAAATGAGAGTTTTTTTTCTCTGCTGATTTAGTTTTCTATCATTTAGCTGTGGTGAGTATTGCTGCTGATTTACTAGATTTTTTTAATCTATTGTATAACGTCTGCAGCATTTGTAAAAATTATCATTTGGTGGTAGTTAATGCATTCTTAACTCAAATTCATGGGCAATTTTGTTTTACATTATTTCTTATATTTAAAATAGATGTAAGTTAATTCTTCCAGAATATTATTCCAATATCATTGCTGCAACTATTTTGATGCTATTAGATCAGAGATTACTGTATATATGGTTTGATTTATCCACATTCCAAAAATTATACCAATCCTTTAGTGATTTAAGACATTGTTTACTCATGATATTTTACAGTGTAAGTCAGTATGTAGTGCCTAGAGACTTGTTATTACATCATAAGCACGTATAAATACAAAATGAGCTATACCACAGTGGCAAGATATGAGTGTTAAGAGTCTGAAACGCGTAGCCAGGTGCGGTGTTGGAGGCAGATATGAAAAGGGGTGTTTAAGGCACTTTTAGATAAGCACATGAATATGCAAGGAATGGAGGGATATGAACCAAGGGCAGGCAGAAGTGATTAGTTTAATTTAGCCCCATGTTCGACACAACAGTGTGGACTGAAAGGTCTGTACCTGTGCTGTGCAGTTCTGTCAGGTGTTGAAGTAATCTGATGGCTGGATTAAAATTGAGCTTTTTTTTTCCCCCCCCCCCCCCCCCCCCAGTGATATATCTTGAATTAATACTTAAATTTTCTTTTGATGTTTGCATATTTTCTGAACTTTTAATTTGCTTATTTCAAATGCTGAATGCATATTACCAGTGCAAAACAGGATTGTACATATTTATGGGCAGACTACTATGGACGAGTGGTTAGAAATGTTATTTGAGAACATAGTGTTCTCTGTTTCAGTTAGTGTACAGAATGGAAAAGAAGCATTGAGTAATGCAGTCAGTTTTCATGAACAATAGTTTCTATCTTGTTTTAGGTTACCTAATGTATGAGTTTGATCAATTCTGGTTCAAGGAGGAACCATCCAGCATCATGGAATTCAACCATTACAGAGAGCAATTTCATGAGAAGGTGAAACGGCTTTTACAAGATCCAAAAACATCACTTACCTTGAACTTCAAAAAATAGACTGTAATTTGCATTAAGCCTATGAGGTAGCACTTGGAATTAATTGCAAGATATGAGCTTATGCTGTGGATCTGTGATTTTTGAATAGATTTTTAACTTGTAAATAGGAACTGATTAAAAACATTATGTGACTGAAATTCAGGATGGATCCACTTTCAGTATAAATATGTCATCAGATTGTTTCTGGCTGCCTGGTGTTTGATGGCATAAATATGGATAATTTATTTAGTGACATCCACAAAGCAGTAATTGAAATAGTGCTTCATTATGGAAGGAACTATTCAAAGTGTATATACATTTGAATTAAGAGGTTTTCAATTTTCCCTTTGGAGCACAGCAAGTAGCATGAGTTTATTCCTTTAACATTTTTCATTGTACCTTTGTTATTGCTGCTGCTAATACATGCAGTTTCATAAACACATCAACATGTTCAAAGCAGCACTCTGGCTTTTAGATTACTGAAGATAAACAGCAAATGGGGTTCTTTGGGAGTAATTACAAGACTATAATCTCCCCAGTTGTCAGAACAGGGCTTGAGTGGCTTAGCTACTTCTGGACTTTGTGATTGCTGGATGGAAGCAACTTTCCTACGTCTACTATGACAAAGTACATCCTGAAGTTGGAGGATACCAAGTGGCAAAAGGAATTCATCAAGGCTTTTTTAAATAAAAGCAAAAGCAAAAGACTTGCAGGTACTTGAGATCTTAAATAAAAGCAGTAAGTGCTAGTGAAACTCTCAACAGGTCTGGCAGCGTCTATGTAACAAGAAACAAACTTTAAATATTTTGAGTCCAGTGAGACTCTTCAGAATTCCAAAGAGTCACATTGGACTCAACGTTAACTGTTTTGCTTTTCACAGATGCTGCCAGACCTGCTGAGTTTCACCAGCACTTACTGTTTTTATACCAGTAGGATGTTCATGTATTTACCATTGGAGGATTAATTTCTGTGTGGTGTAAAATTAAATTTTCCAGTCTTAATCTGTTTCATTCTGACTATAGTTAATGCCAAAAAGTTCTAAAGTAACAATTAATGTATTTTCACAAAAACCTTGTATTATGAAATAAATAATTCTAAATTAATTTTTTTTGTGATAAATCACAGGATAATCTACTCAAAGAACAACATAGACTGTCAATTTCATGAAATTTGTTAATGAGTTCAAGTTATTGACAATCTTGCAGGTACAATTAAGCTGAGCACCTCTTGAGGTACGCACTTTTTAATCTTTGAGTGATTTTGTTAAATTGTGTGATGTGTAAACTAGCTGTTGCTACCAAGTGCATTGTAATGTGTCACACTGTTATATTTCATAGTGAAAAATTAACTACCAAAAAGTTAATTAATAGCAGATTATTGAAAAATTTCAGAATTAATGTTATGGTCACTACAGTATTTGAAGAGGCATAAGGAAAAATGAGCCTCATCTCACTCAGGAAAGCAAAGCAAGTGTTTTTCCATGCATCATTCCAGCTTTTTATTGATGATCCCTTTATTGTATGAGCAACAGTGAAAAGTTTTATATTTATTACTGATGATTATTCTGGATAAAATATTTGTAGCTGAAAGTTGCTAAATTTATTGGATGAAATGCTTTTTTCCAGAAAGGTATGCTATGATGTTTGAAGTTTATATAGATTTCTACTGGTTGGCTTCCCATTTAAGAATGGGGTTGGGGGGGGAGATGAAGCTTTATTTTATGAACTTTTGCTGAAATAAATAGTTCAAAACTGAAACAATTAAATGCATCTTGTATGTATTTTTACTCAGTTGGGATTTTTGGGAGAGGTCAACTGGGTATTTATCTAATCTTTAAGTCTGTATGTCTGCACAGAGGAATGTTGCTACATTAAAATCATTAAATACCATTGAGAAATAAATTTTGCACCAATTACTGACTCAAGAAGAACAGTGTTTCATGGAAAGCACGCTCTGATCCATGAACATTCCCATAATTTCTCTCCATTCTCTGCTGTTTGCTAATATTTTGGAAAGAGGGAAATTTTTCGGATTTCAGAATCCACCACATCTCCTTCCTAGATAGCAGGAACTGCAGATGCTGGAGAATCTGAGATAACAAGGTGTAGAGCTGGATGAACACAGCAGGCCGAGGAGCAGGAAGGCTGACGTTTTGGGCCGAGACCCTTCAGAAATGGGGGAGTGGAAGGGGGTTCTGAAATAAATAGGGAGAGAGGGGGGAGGCGGATAGAGGAGAAGATAGGTGGAGAGGAGACAGACAGGTCAAAGAGGCGGGGATGGAGCCAGTAGAGGTGAGTGTAGGTAGGGAGGAGATAGGTCAGTCCAGGGAGGACAGACAGGTCAAGGGGGCGGGATGAGGTTAGTAGGTAGGAAATGGGGGTGGGGCTTGAGGTGGGAGGAGGGGATAGGTGGGAGGAAGGACAGGTTAGGGTGTCGGGGACGAGCTGGGCTGGTTTTGGGATGTGGTAGGGGGAGGGGAGATTTTGAAGCTTGTGAAGTCCACATTGATCCCATTGGGCTGCAGGGTTCCCAAGCGGAATATGAGTTGCTAAATTTATTGGATGAAACGCTTTTTTCCAGAAAGGTATGCTATGATGTTTGGGTAGCATCGTTGTGGCACTGCAGGAGGCCCAGGATGGATATGTCGTCTGCGGTATGGGACGGGGAGTTGAAATGGTTCGCGACTGGGAGGTGCAGTTGTTTAGTGCGAACCGAGCGTAGGTGTTCTGCAAAGTGGTCCCCAAGCCTCCGCTTGGTTTCCCTGATGTAGAGGAGGTCACAACGGGAACAGCGGATGCAGTATACCACATTAGCAGATGTGCAGGTGAACATCTGCTTGATGTGGAAAGTCTTCTTGGGGCCTGGGATGGGGGTGAGGGGGGAGGTGTAGGGGCAGGTGTAGC